CCTGCCACACTGTTTTCTTAGACCCAGGAGAGCAGACAAGCTGTCCCAGAGATTTGAGCTGCCCAGTGATTTAGATCAAACTGGCACCTTGAAAGTCATTATAACGGCTTTCCTTGCACATCAGTCAAATAGGATTTCCTCTTGGCTTGAGAGAAGTTGGTTTGGATTTATATTATAATATCATAGCTCTGGTGACTGAATTTCCTTCTTTGCTTCGGTAATGGGGAAGATTGGAGATAGACTGGTCGTCTGAGGAGCAACTACACAAGGTCATGTGCAAAAAATAATAACAAAAAACAAGGTCGTGTGCTCCTCTGTCCTCTTATGCTCTCGGCTGTATCTGACATATTTGTTTATTTAATTTGTATGACATACAGTTTTGAAACTATTTGAAATACTCTCCGGATGAGAACAAACGTAGTGTGTTTTAGAATTCTCAAATTATGACTAAGTCATAAAGGGGTACCCTTAAAGAGTTACTACTACCCCTCCCAAAGCACTTCATTTCCTCCTGGAGAACTTACTCATCAACAGGTCTACCATAAAGTTTCCAGCCCTCAGACACAGGAGGATGTATTGGAAGTGGCAAGAGGATGGCATCTTAACGAGGCTTTTTCTTACAAAAGAGATCACTCAGACATGTCTGTTAGAGCAAACAGCCCATCTAGTCCCAAACTAGCCAGGACATGTTTGAAGGAGAGTGGCTGTTGAAGCCAACGGAAATGCTGAAATCAGTGACTTGGAGCAGGTCCACCAGCCAGCCCATCTGGACTGCCCCCGGGACCTCTTCTGACAGAGGCTGGCGGGAGAGGGTCTGTGACGGTGGAAAGAACTGGAAAATTAGGAGATACACATGCATGCACACACACCCAATAACCCTGCAATGTTTGAACAGGACAGCCACTTCCAGGAATATTTTTTAATGCACAACTTACTCCAGAATTACTCCTGGGATAAGCATGAAACTCCAAAATACCCCCATGATCAAAGAGAGCTATTTCTATCAAATGACATCAAAATGAGGAGGATGTAAAGCGACAGCATTATGTGGACCTGTACAGAGACAAGGATGCACATCACCCCTGTAGTTACCTGCATGCACATTGCATGCACAGAGCTCTATTTTGTGCTAATATGTTACAAAAAGTAACTCTTCTAACTCTTCCAACTCTTCTGAGAGGTGAGTTTTAGGTTTATCGTCAGGAGCCACGGGCATTAACTAACTTGCACACACGAGGTATATGGGTGATTAAACTGGTCTTTCATCCCAGGTCCAGCGAACCCCTCTGTAGATCACGCAATTCCACTCAGCTGTGTGAGGTGGAGAGGAGTAGGCAGTAGTAAGACTTGGAGATACCTTAGAGGCCACTGAAGAAGAAGGTATTTTAAAAATTATGCTTTGCTGTCATGAAAGATTAATCCTACACCACCTTTCTCTATTGCTAAAATCTAACAGATGACCTTGACTGAAACTTTACATAGTCCAGTTTTGAAGCTAGCCCAAAAAGGCTGCTCAGTTAGAACAGGTGTATTCCATCTGAGACAATTCCAGTGCCTGCACCCTGAGAGACCCTGCTGTTAACTTGCGTGAGTCACAGACTATGCCTGCATGATGCCACATCAGGAGAAAGAGTTAGCAATTCACTCAGGAACCGGAATTTAGTTCCATGATCAAAAGTTCTGGGTTTTGGGAAACATCTGGAGGTCTGACATTGAGAGACACAGCCTGAGCCTCAATTGCTATTTTGCTTGGTTCATGCCCTGCATGAATCATGAGAGAGCCAAGACAGGCTGTAACAGAAAATAAAGCAACACAGCCTGAGGAAAGCCAAGGTCTCCCCTCCAACAATACAACAGGGTGAGGCTCCAAGGGCCATGGTCGGGGTCTAAAGTTCAGGTCTCAGAACACTGTCTCCCCGCTCTTAAAGCGACAGTGGGAGCCAGATGTACTGCTGACGGTGACAAAGGAGTGCTGGGGCCCAGAAGAGACAGGAAGAGGATGGAGACCAACCCAGAGGAGTAGAGGTGGGAGAGGAGTGGAGAGGGCAGGGCCAAGGACAGACAAGAAGCAAAAGCAGGTTGGGATGAGAGGAGGGTGGGGTGCATTCCGAGAACACCTGTTGAAGGGTGGGCGTGCTGGAGAAGGCACGGAAGGAAGTGGATTTGGACGTTATTCATGCAGGTTGAGGAGCAGAGAGGCTTAAGTACACATGTTACTCATTCTAAAAAATGTTCTTGGTAAAAACTGATTTAGTAGTCAGCTTTCCTTTTTGCTTTTGATTTTCAGCAAAAGGGAATAAGGAGTGGATTGAAGATGACAAGTATAAGATGAGAAAAAGGCTGCGAACATGATTTTCTGTAATTTATAATCAATGCCATAATATCAGCCTTCAACAACAGTAGCAGCAGCTAATGCGTGTGGGGGCCAAGGCACCAGGCACTGAGTTCTGCACTTTGCATGCACGCTTTCATTCCGTCCCCACGATAACCCCAGAGGCAAGTGCTGATCTCATCTCTATTCGACAGGTGAAGAAACTGAGGCTGGGAGAGGGTGGATAATTTTCCTAACACCCACAGCCAGGGCTCACTCTGACTATAAAATTCCATTTCTTAAACCACCCTCATTTGCAAATGCTAGGTTATGGTTTTCAAAGCCCCTCCACAGATAATATAACGTTTGGTTTTTCAACAACTCTGGAAGAAATCTCAGATTCTTCTCTTCCTGGCTGTGCTACCGTAATTTTCTTAAACACTCTGAACTGGGTCTTAGCATCTGTAAAGTGAGGATAATAATGGGGTCTGCCCACCCACGGGCTGTAGTGGGGAATGAACTGACTATTGGAAGCACGAACATGCCCAGGGTCAAGTGGAAGCTAAAGAAGTGACGACTCTATTGGTGGGCAGGGCAGGGGTTGGGGTTTATGTGCAGAGTGAAGCTTAGGGATGTAGAGGGTTCCCAAGATCACCGGCAGGAAGGACAGACCTAGAAGCTAAACTCGGATCACCTAACACTAAGTCCAGCACCCTTCCCCTAAGACTGCTTGGCCCCACGTCGTTCATGACACCCCTTCGTGACACTCAGTGTGGCTTGCTCTCCCAAAGCACCCTGGCCGCCACTGCAACACGCAGCCTCTGGTGCAGGTGCACTTCCGCTCGGTGACAACATCTGGATGCCGTTCATGGCAGCTTTGAAAGGAAGTTTTCCCCATTCTGTTAGCACGAGTATACGGCAGGTTTTGAAAAGCGCAAGTCAGAGCACTTCTGCTCCCGAGTCCCCCTAAACAAGGACATGTGTTTGGCATGTTGCCTGAAGACCTGATGGTGCGTGTTGAACTACAGGCTATGTTGTTGCCGAAATGATTGGGGTTTATCTGATGATGTCAGGCCCCAATACAGGAGAGTATGTTTCCTTCCAGTGTCATGGTTAGAACAGGGTGGGTGGGAGGGAGGGATGGAGGGGGAGAGAGGGAGAGGGAGAGAGAAAGAGAGAGAGAGAGAGAGAGAGGGAGAGAGAGAGAGAGGATTCTCAGATAAACAGAATACAGAGCCAAATCTCTTCCAAAGGATTTATAATGAGCTTGCTTATGAGTCACACGCATCATACTTCCTTCATATTGGAGTAGAGCAGTGCCAGCCCTAAATAAAATTGTGAAATAGGCACTGTTTGGTCCTTTCATCAACGTTTTACTTCTTGTTCTGCCTTCTGAGGCCCGTCTCCCTGGCCTCACTCGGTACCGTGAGGTCAGCTGCCCAGCCCCAGCCCCTGGCATATGATTCTTCTTTTCCTCTGCCTCATCCTCCCTCCCAATGCAAATGATCTCAATTTGGGGTGAGGAGAAAAGCAAACTGAGTGGGATTAATTCATATTCAGTTGTGAATGACTAATGGCCTTCCCAAAATACTTGGGATTTAAGAGCTGGTATGCTCTATATGGTCAATTTTAGGGAAAAAAAAATCAAGTTCTGAACCAGTTTATCTTTTTTGGGAAGGGGTGGCATGTATGTATGTATTTATTTACTTATTTATTTTTTATTATAGTTTTCCTGTTACCATTTAATCCCCTTATATCCCTCCCACAATCACCACACCGTTGTCCACATCCGTGAGTCTTTTCTCCACTTTGCTCAGTCCCTCCACCCCTGAACCCCTGCCCCCGCCCTTAGCTGTCACCCTGCTCTCTATCTGTGTGTCAGAACCAGATTATCTTTATGAAAGCAGATCAAATTCAAACCCAAAATCTCAATACATATTTAGTTACTGACCCACTGGAAAGAACATGATTGACTGCCTACCATGTGACAGATACTGTGCTAGAGGTTAACTGCAAGTGAGAAGGACTCCCTGCTCATAGTACAGTAAGGAAGCTACAGCCTCCACTGGGGGAGAAACTGGCCACCTAGGCCGTGCCGTTTTGTTAGCCCAAGGCCTTGTCACTGTCAGAGGAGATTGGGACCAACAGAAGGAGGTGGCAGAACAGGAGGGTGGGGGAGGGGGGCGGGAGAGGACTCGAAGGCCTGTGGGCAGGCCTTACAGATTCATTTTGCCAGAAATCCCTCCATCCCATTGGCTTTGTTCCCCATGACCTGCCTGTTCCCTGGGACATTTGAATTTGCTACCTGGTCTAGAAAGATATTCTTGGAATACATTTTAGGGTCATGATTATTTTATAATGTTGGGGATTTTTGCTAAAATGTCCACTTTAGTGACAACACTTTAAAACACAAAATTGGAAGGAAAATGGGCTTCCTTAAGACATTAAGTTACCGAAAAAATGACTGTTTGTTCCATTCACTAGCCCCCCTCTCCCGGACCCCAGGTTGGGCTAGAAATAGAACTCCTATCTTCTAGTTCTCATTCTATATTATTTGTAAGCTGTGTGACCTCAGACAAATCCCTTCACCTCTCTGAGACTTTTTCCTTATCTGTAAAGACAGAGGATTGGATTTGATAATATTCAAGTTTCTTTTAAGTCAAATGATGTTCTAATCATTTAATCTGATGCTGTGATTCTTTGCTGATAGTACAGACTTCGGTGATATTTTAACAGAAGAACTTGGCATAGTTCCCTGGTTACTCGACTCAGGAATCCAACCCAAAGAGCCACACAGGTGGTTAGAGAAAGCAGGCAACTTTTGTTTCCAGAGTAAAATGCTTTGTTCAGACCAAAGAATGCCCATTATTAACTTCTGTTACAAAGAAAGCTCAACTAACTACAGGGAAGTAAAGATCACAGACAACACAATGGATCATAGGTAGGACACTTCTACAAGTAAAGATTCACAGGTGGCAGGTACGTTTTAAGTCCAAAAGTATTTTTAACATTGTCCTTTGCGGTTCAGATCCCAAAATCACCAAACAAATGTATAGCTTGTTTAATTAGGCGGTATTACCAGGACTCCAAGGGGCTTACTTCCTTTATGCAGCTTAAATCCACAGGCTAGTCTCAGGTGCTTAGCACAGAAAGGGAGAATCACTGTACCAAAGCCTGCATTGCTAGAGGGTGCAGCGGCTATGGGTGGAAAGAACGACTGTGAAGTTCTTAGGGAGGAATCAATGATGAGCACGCTCAGTGGAGTTTGTAGGTGTCAGGTCCCAGCAAGTAAGTGACCTGGTGAAGTGACGGCACAGGATCCCACGGCTGGTGAACTAGTGGTAAACGGACCGGTGCACAATCCCCAAGTGCTGGCCAGCTCACTGTCCACTTCTCCGCATATCAGCATCAGGGAACCCTGTGTGGGAAAGAGGGTCGAAAATACTAGTTAGAACGCTACAGCAGAAAGAAAATGTAGAGGCTTGCTAGCTTCACTGTTTCATTACCCAGATGAGGAAATGAGACCTGAAGAGGGAAAGTGAGTCTGCCAAGATTAAGCAGATGGTACAACCCCATTCGAGTCGATGTAAGTAATATATACTAATTGGTATTAATTAATTCACTCTTTCCTTTCTCAGGAGACTTTGTCTGAGGAACACTATTATCAGTCATTGTGGAGATATTTAAGGTTTCATTTGTCATACGCACTCTTATTTTATCCCTAAAATGAAATTGAGTCCTGGAGATTAACTGCAGAACTGAACCGATGCAGGAGACACACAGCAATGGGGCGCCACTCTCCATGAGGGGTCAGGGGTCACTCAGTGCCAGGGCAGGACTGGTGTGGCTGTCACAGGCCAGGGGTCAATTTGTTGAGAGGGCAAAAGTGACATACCCTAAGTTGCTCCTGAGACAGATAAGATGTAACCACCACCTTCTCTCAGATCTTAGTCAATTTCTAAGTGGGCGTGACTTCCAGTTTATGGAAATCCCAGCAGTGCCCTGGCTATTAGAACGAGGTCATCTACAGCTATGAGGACATTCAATCCTAACACAGACCATATTCACCCTCCCTTTCCCCACCTTCTTATTCCTGTCCACCCCGTGCCTCCCAAATCTTTTTGCCATGGCAAATAGGCTTTCCCTATTCCTAGTGGAAACAAAGGAGGGCTCTTCCTCATAAGATGAGGGGCCCACAATAGCTTTGGCTTCCTGACCCGATTTGACCAGGTCCCATCTGGGTCCTGGTTCTGGATGTGCTATCGCGTGATCTAAGACAAATCAATCTCTCCGAGTCTCAATTTCTTCACCTATAAAATGGACTAGATAACTCCAGGTTCCTAACTATAAAATTCCCAAGGTTTAGTAACATTTTTTTTTCTGTTCTTACAAGTGGCAGCAAGCTTCCAGAGAAATTTGTCATTGTTTATTAGATGCATAAGGCTATAAATAGAATGAAGCATAAGGTGACATGTGTTTAAAAGGCAATTCTTTTCTTGTGATATACCCTAAACATTTCATTTTATTCTACTCTCACTATCAATTACAGACATGGGGACACAAGAAACATTTGATTTATGGGTGGATAACCGGAACAGCACAAAACCTACCACAAAGTGAGATGGATACTGGGTTCACTGTCGATGGACAGATACAGTTGGTTACACAGACAAAACCGGAACAAAACCAAGGTCAGGATGGGCTAGCGATGCATCACAGAAAAACCACACGGTGGCCACGGTGTCAGAGGCTGCTGCTGTTGGCCTTCTCCTTATCTGTTCACCGATTCATCTTTCCATTCATTCTTGTATTGATTTTCTGATAACTTAAGGTAGCTTATCTAAGTTGTTAAGCAATCCACCTAAATGTTCAAACATGTCCTTTGCTGTGAAGGCACATTACTAGGGGACACAAGTGACAATAGAAAACATTGCAACACGAGGTGCAATGTTCTTCTTTCCTTTTGGATGATTATTCCTCAGCCTACTCTTGGAACTTGGCCACACACAGTCAAGAACCAAGACAAGGGAAATTCCCATGAAGAACCAGGTGTAAATAAAAATCTATGTGAAGTAATCAGCTGTGCCTGGGGAGACACTAACTGCCCGTCCCAGGGAAGAGAAAAAAAGAATAAAGGCTGTTGAGTTACATTCATTAATTGTCTCATTAGAAATGCCAGTTCAATATTTTAATATCTGTGTTGTACCCAAATGTGTATGCCATTCTGTGGACGTGGGAAGACCCCCTTAGGCCCAGACTCGCATTCTGGCACAAATGTAAAGGCCACAGAACTGGGTGGCTGGGGGGCACATTTCACACACATAGAAAGCACCATTCTTGTCCCTTTGCCAGGGTCAATGGGTCACATTTTCCACCATGGATCAGAGGAAGCTGCATCTATCTCAGGCACATGAGCAAATGGGAAAATCTGAACACAGGTCATTTATTCCACAAAAAGCAGCCAATGTGGTAAAACTTTAAAATTCTAATGATTTCACCACATCCCTGGACTTCTGGCCAGAGGAGGCAGTCCTAGAAGGGCTGTTGCCTCACTGCTTCCCCAAAGAGCCGAGAATCACCTCCCCCCACCCCCACAGCACACGTGCGCGTGTACACACACCCCTTTTTAATAGCCAGGAGATAAACTGTTCCTTTCCGTTCTCTCTGTTTGGTATCTGCCAAAGCTACGAGCTCCAAGTTCAGTTCATGAGTAATTACTCTGTGTCCAGCTTGATTGCTAGCTGTAGCAAATGCCAACCTTAACTGCACATTGTGGTCACCTGGAAACCTTTTAAAAAAACATAGCATGCCAGTGCCAGAATCTCTCAGAGGTTCTGACTTAACTGTCCTGGACTGGGACTTGGGAGGCAGGGTTTTTAAGGGTTCCCTGGTGATTGCAATGTGTGGCCAGGGTTGGGACGCCCCGCCCGCCCCCTCCGCCCCCGCCGCCCGGGCTTGGTACAGGAGGGACAGCAATGAATGTGGCACAGTCTCTCCTCTCTAACAGATCCCGTGTGTTTGGCTAATTTGTAACTGGCACTAAAGTCCCACCTTGGGAAAGGCAACCATTGATTTGGGCTTCGCTGACACTGTTCGCACAGGACAGAGATCGCTTTGGGGAGAAATGTGCACTCTCTGCTAGCCAAATGAATGGCCCCCTGTGGTTGTTCTAAAATGTCTCTGATTTGTTTCAGTCCCTTTTCTCACAGGCACAATTTCCTCCCACAGCTGAAACAGTCGATTAAACACAGTGGTCCCCTCCTGCCCAAAGTTCCCACCGCCTAGCGCAGAAACTGGCACAAAGATAACACACCGTCCATCCTGGCTCAAAGCAACCAGCAGAGACGATCACAGACGGAACCCAGATTTTGTCACAGGAGACAGGCTTATTGAGGTGCTTATGACCAAGCTGTTTATGAAACATCACTGCTGATACTATTCTTAAGCACATGAGATAGGTGAAAATAGCTCTATAATTTTTTTTGTCTCCCATTACCCCTTTGAGCAGGGGTCAATGATGTTTTCCAATGGTCAGAGCGTGCCCAATTGTGACCAGTGTAGGAAGCATCGCAGGAGTCTTGGCACAACTGGCCAATGGGAGCCTGCAGCCAAGGGGTGCTGTACACCACTGGGCACCTGGAGGGAAGGTAGGGACGGCACTTCCTGCCTGTTCTTCTCTCTGCCCCAACCACCACCTCTGACCTTGCCTGTGTGAACAGATGCCAACCCAGTGGCCCCGCTTGCACTTCTGGCTGGTTCTGCCCCCAGTTCTGGCTGGGATCCTGCCCCCAAGCCCAGCCTGCTGCCCTCGGCCCCCACCAATGACCCATCCATTAGTGAAGGCAAACTTCAGACCAGAGCCATCACTAGCAATTCTGGGGACAACTGTTCTCAAATCAGTCTTCCCATACTGTCTACCTCACCCCACCCAGTCTGGACACATCACCCGCACTTCGGCCCTCTCTCAGCTGGGGGCGGATCTCTGCCTCCATCCCTCTCACCCAGGCCCACCCCTAATATTCAGGAACCCATGGCAGGAACACAACTGATGGCTCTCACATTCTAAGTGTAACTGTTTAAAAGTTCCAAATCAAGTTAACTAACGGCTAAATAAAATACATTCTATCCTTCTGCCTTGCCAGGTACACACTTTCATAATGACGACCTTTACCTCTTCAGTGATATAACTGAACTACATTTTTGCATTTCTACATATATCATGATTTCAACATGTACTCATTCCCAATGGTGTAAAATATTAAAATATAATTTTTTCAAAGTACACAAATCTTAAATATATTTTGTCAAACATTTATCAAGTGTTAAAAATAAAAACTTTTAATGTTTTTGAAATTTTAAGTCTCCCCATATATCCAAGTATCTGTTAAAATTAAAAGGCAAAATACAGATTTCCAGTCAAGATGGTAGTGTAGACAGACATAGCTCACCTCTTCACACAACCACATTAAAATTACAACTAAAATATAGAACAACCATCACTCAGAACCATGAGAAATCAAGTTGAATGGAAGTTCAACAACTATGGAATTCAAAAAACCACATCCATCCAGACTGGTAGGAGGGTGCAGACATGGAACAAGCTGGTCCCTCACCCATGTGTGGTGGACAAAAATTCAGGAGGGATATCACAGGAGCAAGGAGTCCCAGCCCCACACCAGGTCCCTCAGCCCAGGGTTCCACTACAAGGAAGATAAGTCCCCACAACGTCTGACTGCAAAAACCAGCAGGGATTGAGTCAGTAGAAGAAACTGCTGGAACCCCAAGCAGTTCCTCTTAAAGAACCCACACATGGACTCACCTACTCAGACTCAGTCCCTCTGAGCTCCAGCGCCCAGGTAGCAGCTTGAAAGGCACGGGTGGTATACAGGGAAAAACTGAAGTATCTGTTATCAAGGTGAGCAGAGGCCATTGTTCCTTATCTAAATGCTCCCGCCACAGAGCCTGAAGTTGGTGCCATATCTGAGACTCTATCAATCTGCCTTGGAGATCCCCAGAAACTCCACTCGACCCAACTTCCAGACCCATCCAAGCTGCTTTTCCATGTGTATGGCTGGTTTTGGCTCATGCTGCACAACTTCCTAAATCCTCTCAAGCAAGCAACAGCAGGCCTCAGTGAGCCCCAGGCCCTGTACGAGCAGCAAACCAGCCTAGATTAACAGCTTGCTTTGCCTGGGAATCTCTAAGACCAGCACAAGTAGAAGCCATCTCAGATTGCTTTGTAGCTCAGGTAGGATGGCCCCAGGCAAAACACAGGTGAGGGCTAACCTGGGCCGGCACCACCCAAGAAACCCCAGTGCCAGCACACCCAGTGGACAGCTACAGACCACATCTGGGCACCACCACCCTGCCCCTTGCACAGCTGATCCCCTACAGAAGGCAGAGGTTGGTCGTAAGTGG